GGGAAGGGGATGGAAAGGGGTGAAGGGGATGGGAAGGGGGGGAAGGGGATGGGAAGGGGGGAAGGGGATGGGAAGGGGGAAGGTTTCATCATCTTGTGTATTTCGGGGATGGTGAATAATCTGGGGCCAAGGGGGGGGGGGAATTTGCGTGAGTTTATTGGAAAGGGGGAGGGAAAAGAGTTAGCAGTTGGAGAAGTTGGCGGTTGGGTTCGTTAGGATGTGGGTTTCCGCGACCTCAACTCCCGCAATCGTCCCGTTCCCCGATGTTCCTGTTTAAAGCTTCGTCTCTCTCTCTTTCCCCACAAAAAACACACGCACACGCATACATGTATACACACACACACTGTGTCGCACACCCCGAGGAAACTCTCAGTGAATACCTTCTCGCACCGTTACCAGCCCTCCCATTAACCCTTCGCCCACACTTCTCTCCCCCCCCCACACACACAAAAAACATCCCCCGGCATTTTTTTTCTCCTGGACTCCCACTCTCTGACTCTCAGCTGTTGTGTGGCCATCTCCGCTAAAACCGCGAACCCCCCCCCCTCCGCATCCCAGAGATGTTCACGGGTGGTATGCCGTACAAGGGCGTCCCGGGAGCACTGCTGGGGCATTTAATATCCATGGAGGGAAAGCGACCCGTGTTTCCCCCGGGTACGCCACCCGGGTTCAAAACCCTGGCGGAGCGGTGCTGGCACGCAGATCTCGCAGCGCGGCCGGGTTTTGAGGAGATCCTGACGACGCTGACGGCCCTACGTGCAGCGGAGGTGTCGCCGACGCCTGCGCTGTCGTACACTGCCATGACGCCGGAGCAGCGTCAGGCCGTCAAGGTACGGGAGCGCGAGGGTGCGGCGGCGTCGCTGCGGCGGCGGTTGTTGGAGGAGGCGAGTTCACGGCAGTCGGCGTCGGCGCCGCTGCCTCGGCTTCACCACCACTACCATGGGCGGAAAGGATCTGGATCTGGATCTGGGTACGTGGGAGGGGACTCGGCATGGTTTATGGTTAGGGGTTTTAGTGTTTTGGGGATTTAATCTTTAGGGTTTTAGTATTTAGGGTTTTAGTATTTAGGAGAACTTTGAGGTTATGTCTTAGGGCCGGCGGGTTGTGGTTGTGGGATCGGGATTTTAAATTTTTTTTAAATTTGTAAGAGTTTTTACTCTTCACTTTTTAAAAACTTTGCTCATCACGTCGAACGTCGTAAAAAGAGAAACGTCGACTCTTTTCTCCATTTCCGCTTACACGAGGAAACATGCGGACATGGGTGGTGGCCCGGTGCCATTACGTGGCGCGTACCGTGACCCGCTGCAGGGCGATACCCGCCGGGCTCGGCGAGGGAGGTGACCCCCCCTCCCGAACCCCCTACCGACAACCCTCCACATCCACCAACGGAGACGGGGCCAGCCACCCGCCTAAATGTCAGCGATCCCCTCGGTGCGGGGGTTCGAACCCGCGACGTGGCGGCAGTCGATCCCGAAGCAGGGCAGATGACCCGGTGGGCGCTGGGGAGGGGAGAGGGGTGTTTGACGGCTCGATGGTGGGGTAGGATTACTTGGTAGCTTTTGTTTGTTCCTAACTGCTGCTAGTTGGGCTTTGGTTTTTGTTGGCAATGGAGCTCCTGCCACCCTCCGGGCAGGTCTGTTGTATTTTTTGCCCTTGACGCTCAGATGCTGTTGACTTTGTGCTATTGACGCGGCTACTGCTACTGCTACTGCTACTGTGGCTGACATTGCTACTGCTACTGTGGCTGACATTGCTGCTGCTACTGCGGCTGACATTGCTACTGCTACTGCTACTGCTGCAGATCATCATGGTCGGCGGCCGCAACGTTTCGTTGTCCAACGCCATAACGTCCAAGTCCGTTGTGGTGAGTTAGTTGGTAGTTGGTAGTTCGTGGGCATGAGCTATCCAGCTTAGGCGTGAGTTTGGATGCGGTTTATGGTTTAGGGTTGGGGGCCCCCCACTCGTACTAGATCGCTTGGCCTGATTGTTTTGTTGCCTTTGTTTTGCGCTGGTTGCCGACCCGACCCACGTATCCTTGCCGTACAACCACTAACTGTATCTCCATTGTACGGTATTTTTTACGTGTCGCAGTTGGAGCCTATTTCGGAAACGAGATTCGAGGGTGATCCGGACGCGCCCGCGCAAGAAGCTGTCAGCTCCTAATCAAGCGCGCGCGCAACTTTCCCGGTGCCGGGACTCACCTTCCTCACCTTTACACTATGTTGCTTACATCACCAACATCCTAATTAGGAACCAGAAATTATGCATTTAATATGCCGTGGAAAGGAGGACGACGGACAGGCGCAGCTGCAACATCATGTTAATCAAAAGCAGCGGTTGCTGTACTGGTGACACTAAATAGCTGTGGCTGCAGCATTTGGATAGCAGCAGTTGTAGTAGCTGTAGAAGCAGCAGCAGCAGTAGCAGGAGTTTCCGCAAGCAGGAATTACGGCAACAGCCGCAGCTGTAGCAACAGCAACGTCATCGCGGCAGCCCACGTTCTTGCAGTTATCATCACCTCCATGTCAAAACACACACACACACACACGCTCTTACGTTATTACCCATTTCGCATTCATGCCGTTCATCGTACAGGTTGATAAAAAGAGGGATTGACGTCAAAGCACCTTTTTCTCTTGGGTCTAGGGTTTTAGGGTTTTAATGGGCGCCTTGGCGGTTTTATTATTTAGGGTTTTGCGCTGGCGCCGTTGGCGGCGTTGGCGATATGTGTGGGGTGTGTGTGTGTGTGTGTGTGCGTGGGGGGGGATTCCGGTAAGTTTAGGGATTAGGGGATTCATATACCGCTAATGCGGATTAGCACTAGCATCACAAGTGCCTGTGTGTGTGTGTGTGTGTTTGCGTCTCTTGGTGAGACGTCTTCAGTTTGCGCCGTACAAGGTTCACGGCAGCTTGCGTATCCTCTCCCGGCCCTTCACACGAGTGTCAGTGCGGTACGTCAGTGCGGTACGTCAGTGCGGTACGTCAGTGCGGTACGTCAGTGCGGTACGTCAGTGCGGTACGTCGTACAGACACACTGCGCTGCTGCAGCAATCTGCATCGACAACAGAGAATATAGTTGGATAGTGAAATCATTTTTTTAAGTTTTTATAGTTTACGATTGGGTTTTAGGATTTGCACAGAGCCAAAACTTTGCGAAATTGGGGTGCAGGAGCGCAACTCGCCACGCAGCATTGTTGCTTGTGGGGTTATATTCTTTTTGGTTGAGGGCTAGGGGGGAAAGGGGGTAGGTCGCCGGTCTTGTGTGTGTGGGGGGGGGGGATGAGGGGGTGAGGGGAGGGGAGGGGAGGGGAGGTGAGGTGGCCTCTGTGTATGAGTGTACGGTGCAGCTACGTTTGCATAATGCTGTTGTTACAGAGTAGGAGGCTTCTGGGCCACCCGAACTCATTGTCATTTCTTCGATGGCATATGGGGATGCATATGGGAGATCCCGGGATCGATACCCTTAAGGGTCAAAATACCTTCCGATGGCGGAAGGCTATGCGCCCCTAGTTGATGGACGGTGGTGACCTGGGATAAAGTTAACCTGCGAGTCGACCAGGAATGGAGTTGGGCCGCTGTCGACCCGGCAGATTCCGTTGGATGCTGGTGATGGGTGCGGTCCACCTGAGCGATCCACTGAGAAGTTGACTAGGGTGTCTGGATGAGGGTGCCCCGAATACCGGGGAAGGCCGGGTTTCGCAGGGTAGCTGCCACGGGCGAAGATACACCTCCCTGTTTCACACATCATATGGGGATGTCGAGTGATGTGTTGGGAGGTGGGGCAGGTGCACTCCTCACCACTCCTGTAGCGTCGTCTCACGGAACCGATGTTGTTGTTGTTGCGCTGTCAGTTGTTGGTCGTGTCGCTGGGCAAAGCAGCTGCGCAGCTACGACCGTGTGTGTGTATGTATGTGTGTGGGGGGGAGAAGGGGAGAGGGGGAAATCGCACCACTCAGCCCGCACTCCAGCGCTACAGCTGCTTACATGCTGCTACAGCTGCTTACATGCTGCTACAGCTGCTACAGCTGCTACAGCTGCTAACCCGAAAAAACCCGAGAGGAGCGGAATCCAGTCCCGGGTCTTAGCATTCATTCCCTCGCGCACCTGCGTCACCTGTTTTGTGTGTGTGTGTGTTTCTTTGCATTCGAGGACCCTTCGCGCCGGTCCGTTCTGTATGTCTATGTACGGCAGCAGAGTCCGTACATCGAAGGGACGAAGATGGGGAAGATTTTGTTTTTGTGGGATTTGAATCGGCATATTCCGTTCGCATGCCGAGCAAAGAGGGCTTCCCTTCCCGCATTTTCTTGTGGTTGCTGACTTTCCGTTGTTGGTTAGTGCCGTTATTGGCATTGTTCATGGTGGTTATTAATTCTGTTGGTGGCGGTGGATTTAGAGTGAACCTAGTGTGTACGGCACGTGTACTGCAGCTAGATCAGCCGAGGAGAGGTCGGGCGGGGGGGGTCGTGTGTGGGGAGATGGTGGATGGTGTCATCGTACCGCAAATCAGACATGCAGTTGTTGGTTTTTCTCTCTCTTTTCTCCGCCGTCTACCAGCCGTCAACTATGGGAGGGGGAGGTGGCGCGATGATGGGACTTTCATGGGCAGTTCTCGCAGTTCTGGGAGCCAGTACTTCGCCTTGGGTCGCTGTCGTACACCGCGTGTGTGTGTGTGTGTGTGTTTGCCCAACGTGTGTTTCCCCACCCCCTCTTCTTCCCCGGAGTTAAGTCGCTGCTGCGGGTGCGGCTGCTGCTATGTGTACGGGTACGGGTACGGATACGGGTACGACCTGTTGGTGACGTACGGCCATTTGCACGTGCGACCCACGGGTCCGGATTTTATAACAGTGATACCTGTTGACGTCTGACACACGTACTGCAGTACTGCGGGAACAAACTCAAATTGGGGTGTATTGACCTGTTCGCTTTTTTTGGCGCGCGCACACACAGACATGCATATGGGCGCACACACACGCACACACACACGCACGCACACACACACACACACACGCACACGCGCGCGCACACACACACACACACACACACACACACACACACACGCACACACAGAGGGGCGATGCGTACGCAGGGTCACGGGGGCAGATACACACATGCGCACACATTGTCGTGACCGAGCGAACGGCATATATTGCGGTGATGTGTGCACTCGCAAACAATACGCGGAGCGTGCCACCCAACACACCCAACACACCCAACACACAAATAAAACAACGGAATGAGAGTTTTCCTTGTACTGCGATCGCTTTTTGCGCATACGACGTTTTGGGATGAGAGCGTCGTACAGTGTTGTACATGTCGCTAAAAATAGGCTAGTGGTCGGTTGATGAATATCGCGCATTGGGAGGGGGGTGTGTTGCCGCACTCCTGCTCGCATTCATTCATACACGTGTAATAAGATGCAGTTTGGGCGCACGGTGGTGGGGGGAGAACCAAATTCTATGCGGCATTATTGATCGATCGGCATTGATGGCATGAATCGCCGCCGTACGCAGCTCAATCGATCAATGTACGACACGTCCTGCAAGACTCCCCCTGAGGGGATGCCGTGTGCATGTATACCAAATGTATGTCGTACTAGGGGTTTGCTGACTCCCGCAGTCCCCCGGTGATATGGTGACTAATAATAAGACACTGTGGGAGCGCATGGTTCGTACAGCGTACGACATCGCACGTCGTACAACACTCGTACGATACTAACGGCCGTCTCCTGGCGTCACATTTGTTTGTACTTACGTATCTATGTATGCATGTATGCGTGTATTCTTAAATGACGGTGTGTACGGCACTGGACGGCCCTGTAGCTATACACCCTGCGTGTATGTAAATAGCTGTTGGCCTTTTCCCAAACCCCGCTGTTGGGGTCGCCGTAGCTCCGATGAGGGAGCAGAGGTCTACCCCGAAAAACATCCGTGCGTCCGTGCGTCCGTCTGTCCGTCCGTCCGTCCGTGCGGACCGTGTCGGTGGCGAGGGCGCGTCCGTCCGTGTTCCGAGCGCCTCCTCCGGTGGCTCCCACAAGTGTCTCTCTTGCTTCGGTTTACTGATGGAAACCCCCCCTACAACTCAATACCATGTTGCGTAATGTTGTAATGGACACCGCAATGGTTTTTCAAAATGAGGGTTTTGTTGGTTCTATGGCGGGGTGGCGTTTGAGGTTTGCGTGGGAGAGGTTGGTTCATGTTTTACGACTTGTACGGCTCGTGTATATGTCCCCATGTAGAGGGTCTATATGACGACGCTGCAACGACTTGCCACGTCATGGCAGTGGGCTGCTACGGCCTAATGTTACGGAGCAATGCTGCCGTTACTACCCTGCTACTGCGACTGCGACTGCTACTGCTACTGCCCAATGTTGCCATACTGTTACCATACTGTTGCTGCTGGTGCTGCTGTTGGTGTTACTGTTACTACTAGTACTTGTTAATATTGTCTTTGGCGTGAAGCAGTGCTGCTGTTACTGTTGCGTTGCTGCCGCTGCACTAGTGGGTGGCGCCCGGCCGCGGACCCCCTCGTAGACCTCTCTTGCAGTTCGTGTGATGCCGAGTACTCGTATCGTCTGTGTGTGTATTTGTGTGCGTATGTGTGTATGTATGTGTGTATTTGTTACATATCGATTCGGGCCTGACACTGTCCAGGGGCACCTAACCGTAACCCAACGGGAATGGGCGACCACCGAAGCAGTCTCCGCCTTGTGTGTGTGTGTGTGTATGTGTGTGTATGCCAATTCGAGGGGGCCCGCAAATGCAGAGCGTGCGTTTGTATGTACATCCTTTGATGGGTACGGGTGATGCGTGTCCGTTTCCACATGACCGTGGATGGACGTGTCTCTTTGTATATGCGTATGTGTATGAGTGTGTACATGCACATTCGTACAGAACGCGTGGGAAAAAACACTGCAGCGGCGTGGGCAGTGGTTACGATGGCGATGGTACGGTGCGGTACAGAACGGTACGGCGCATGGCCATGATAATGACGGCAATGCTGCTGCTGCTGCATATGATGATGATGATGATGATGGCCGAGGGAAGAATTGTTGTTGAATGCTTGCGATGTGATGTGATGTAGGGAAGATGCTTGTCTCTGTATAGCAGTCGCATGTAGCGAGCAGCATCTTTGTGCTACTGATATGTCTTTAAAGCTAGGATTTGCACATGGATCGCCAAACTGTTTTTTTCGACAAAACGCTCGAGTGTGGTGAAAAAGTGTCTAGTGTTTCCCGTTTGCGTGTTTGCGTGTAAGTGTATATATCCGTGAGTAATTGTATGTTTGTATTGTTTGTATGCATTTGTATGCAATCTTGGCGTCGCTTTACGAACGATAAAACGGCATGAAAACGACTGAGCTGGGGTTTTGCGCAGGTGGTTTGTCTTGTTGGATGTGCGTCTCGAGGAAAATGATATGCTCGGGCACTTAAACAAGAATTTGGATTTTAACGCGTTGGGGGCTTTTTGCCTGCCTGTGTCAGATAGAGCCCTTTCGTGTAGATTGATTCGCCCGCGTCTTTGGTATAGCTTCTACCCATCAAATCGCTGCTGTTGGATTTCTCTTGGCATGGTTGGATTTGTATGTAGATTTATATGGTTGGTTTGTATGGGGGGAGAGAGGGGAAGGGTTGCGACTGTGGAGGCCTTTTCGAGTTACGAAGATCTTCGCGTCGTAGGGGTTGTTGGGGTGGTAGTGTGGCGGTGGGGAGGACGAGGAGGAGGAGGGTTGGAAGGGGATGTCAACGCGCTATGTAATGCACGTGTGTGTATGCGATGTACAAATGTTGCAGGGGGTAAGCACCCAAGCACGCAAGCACCGCGCGCGCGGGGGGTGTAGATGCGTTTATGCCCTGGGCCCGTTGTGTCTGTGGTGTGTTGATGCGGCCAACGCTTTCTGGTTAACAGTTGGACGTTACGTGTTGTCCTCTTGACAGTACTGATATGGTACTGATAGTGGACTGAGCATGGACCGTAATAGTAGTATTAGCAGCAGCAGTAGCAGAGACGTAAATACATACATACATGCATCGGATGGGGTGAATGGATTGGGGTGGGGAGAGCAGGGAAAGGGGGCCGCGGGTGAAGCTTTACCACCCTGTAACAATACACATACATGCATGCATACACGTAAGACATGCACAGCCGGAGTGTGGAACGATAGAAACATGTTCTGTTCATCGGACCGGGCCATTTAACCTCACATAGTTGTGAGAGGTCTATTCAGTACTATTACTACAACTACTACTACTACTGCTTCTGCTTCTGGTGCTGTAATTATATCAGCGCATACATGCATACACACGTCCGCATACATGCATACATACGTACATACGCACCAAGACTGCAGGACGGCGCGCGAAGGTTACCTAGGTAACCTTGCACAGCCGTACACACAAGGCCCCTTGGACAAAGAGGTTTGGATTGTCTACAGCACCTCCGAAACCAACCAACCAGGAGAGGATCTTTCGGGTATCTTTCAATATATCCTTCTCTCCGTTGGGGTCCCCGGGCCCGCCCGGGGCCCCCCCTCCCTGAGCCCCTCTTTCCCATCCCTCCCCCCAACCTCCCCCTGCCGCTCGCCCCTTTATGGCTGATTCTCCGCTGGCCCTTACGGGTTGGCGGGGTCTCGGTGGTGGAGCTCGATGTCATGTTTAGCTGCACCAGGAAGACCTCCTGTGATGGTTCTTTTGACGGAGACTACAGCAGGATCGGATTCCCTTGCTCTTCTGTCCACGGTTGGTACTGGGTTGGTGCTGGGTTGTGGTAAAATGGGTTGGTGCGGGTACTGGAGCTGTTGAGGGGGGAACGGAGAGGCTGGCGGAGGAGGGGGGAAAAGTGTGTGTGGAATGGGACAGCTGTCTTAAAGGGGGGCCCCGGCAGTAGAGCCAGCAGCTGCGGCTGCAGCTCCGCCAGGAGGGCATTTCCTGCGACAGCTCCAGAGCGTACATGCCAGGCCATGCGATTCCTTACGTACGTATCCGTACGTGCCTGAACTCCCTCATGGCCAGATTAGCTCGGAAGTGTAAACTTTGAGTGTTTGCTGCTGCGTGTGTTGTTCAGCTTTCGTAAAGCTGCGGGATTAAACAAAGCCAGTGCTAATGAGCATCTGGGTTTGTAAGTCACCGCGCGGTGGTGGCGCGACGTGGGCATGGGGTAGGGCAGAGCAAGGCGCCAACGGTGAGCAAAGAGTCGGTATTTGAGCCCTCTCTTATTAAAGGCTGCGCTCGCATTTTTCTCGTGTCTATCTCAAGATGAGGTGTAGATTTTCTGATCCCATGCTGTCTCCTACCGGTGTACCATCTCCTACAACCGCTTCCATCGCTGTATACGCCCAGCAACAATGATAAATAAAACCAGTTACCGGTTCGCAGCAGCAAGAGCAGCAGCAGCAGCAGCAGTACTGCATTTGCTAGGCTGGCTGATGGACCGGATGCATGGCCACAAATAGGACATCGGTTAAACAGGCGCCACTTTGATTATAGATCGGTTGCGGGCTGCCAATATAGTGTATGGGTTTGTTAGAGGCGCAACGTTGCAGGCGAGGTCCAACGGGGCTCCTTGTCTAATCAGGCGGCCAAGACCATGGCCAACCTGTGGAAACGCCGTGACAATGTCAGGAACTACAAGGCTGGATAGCAGGTCCTGGTCGCCACGGTGCTACTATACTGCGTTTCGTGTTTCATAGGGCGCATGGCTGGGTTTTGAGTGTTCACAGCACACGCTCCGAAGCTGAGTTTTGGAGCACATTACAAGCCTTGACAGTTTGACCAGTCCCACAAACCTCTTGAGTTTCAGATATATCCTTTAAATGAAGTAGAACGATTTAATTGATGAACGCTTAGGCTGAAGGAGACTTGTCATGGAAGCGAAATCCGTCGACGCGGACTTCATTTTTCGCATCTTTACGGTTTGTCAGCACGATATCCCAACTATAGTAATTGACGTTCGCCCACACAAAGAATTCAAACACAACCACATTGCCGGGGCATTTTGCGTCCGTCTCTCAAGCAACGGTCAAGTCCTTGCAGTACGTTAATTTGCTTCTGAGAAGCTGTATACCGGTCTCACAGGTTAAGGTGGACGCCCCGACCCGCAGGACTATAGCGCATCTTCGTACAACATCAAATGGGCGCAGGACTGTTGGTGAGTAGGCAACAAGAGGGACCTGAACATCGGAGGTTCAACTAGTGGGGGCGTCTTGTCCTCCACTCCAATGGGCTATCCACCCTTCTCCCTCGTCAGCTTACTCGTCAGCTTACTTGTCACATTTGCCACGATGACGCGCAGGTGGGGCCGCAACGTCCTTGTGTACGGCGAGGAGGGCCTCAAAAAGGACCATCCTGTCGTACGATTTTTATCGACTCAAGGGAAATGCCGGGCACTGCATTACTATAAGGATGGGTGGGTCTGACGTCTTAAGGGCGGTCAGAGAACACACAGCACACATACATACGTACACACATACGCATAGATCATGTGCGTTGCGGCTATCCGCAGCCGACGGCTGTGCCCAGCCCTAGCTGTTTTACATGCAGTGTGAGGCTCTGTGTTGTGTGTGTATATGTGTATATGTGTGTGTATGTGTGTGTATGTGCAGGGGGATAATAATGCCTGTGCGTGTCTCCGCATATGAGAGCTGATTGAGGCATCTGTCTGTCCGTCCGTCTGTCTGTTCGTCCGTCCAGAGAAAGTCGGAGGGGAAAAAGGGCCAAAACCGGTCTGCTGCAATTGTTCTCTAATCGCGCATTCTTAGATTACCAGGTTTACCGTTACTTACAGCCAACCTGCCAATCATTCATGCACGACCTTCATTAATAAGAATTACGAAATAAAAGATTGTCGTCATGTGTTTAAGGAATTATAAGTCGCCAACATGCTCCTCATCTTCAATTTTTCATCTGCGTTGGTTTTAGAATTGCTGTGCGCTGCATGTCCTGAGGACCTGTTGTGTTGTACGACAGGTACGGCGCTTTTGAACGGCGGTACCCCTCCTTGTGCACGCCCTCCGTGAAGGCAGCAAGCATCAAGAGGTGAGGCTACATGCGGGTATCTGTAGCCCGGCGAGATCAGTTGGTAGTTGGTCGTTGGCAGTTGGTAGAAGGTAGACCCAACTGCTGCCGAACCTCAACTGCCCAAACACGAACACGAGGCTCCTCATATGCCCCGCAAAGGAAGGGCGGCGTGCAGCTGAAACTGTTTGCCATTTTTGGTCGTACGATGTCGTGTCTTTAGCGTGTCGTACAATATCACTGTGGGGTGTCATGTGGGTCACCTAATGACATGCCGTACTGCGTGTCGTACCCCGTGTCGTATTTGTTGCAGATACCCCTCCCAAATCATTCCGGGCTTCCTCTATCTCGGGGACTGGGACAGTGCAACCGACTTCGAACGACTGGAGGAACTCAACATTCGCCGGTAAGTCGGATAGCCCAAAAAATACGCCTGCATGCCGTACAAAATACTGTCGTACAAGACCTGTACAAATCTAATACGGTCGTACTTCAAAAAATCATAATTTGCGTGTTTATTAACCTCCCCGCTCTCATATCCATCCTCCCACCCCACTTCCCAAACCTCCCGAACCCCCGACCCCGCCCAACCCGCATCCACGTCAATCGCAATACACACACGTGTCAGCATCTTGACCATCCACAATCACCCAGAGCGACTGCGGCCCCCCGCCAACATCCGCCACCTGAGACAACAGCTCCCCGATGTGGAAGACGCCAACATTTCGGAGCTATTCTCTCAGGCGTACGACTTCATGGACGAGGGTCGAGAACGGGGGCAAGGTGGGGGGGCCTGGCGGGGGCTTGGGTTTGGGTTTGGGTTTGGGCGCGCATGTATGTATGTTGTTACAGGGTGATATAGCTTCACCAGCGGCCCCCTTTCCCTTGGAGGCAGTTCCCTGCTCTCCCCTGCGAGAGGGGCACCCTAATCCGTTCACCCCATCCGACTTCAGAATGTATTCGTTGGGTTCAGCAACTCACCACCAGCATCCAACCAAACCTAGCGGATCAACGGCGCCACAACTTCGTTTCTGGTCAGCTCGTAAATTTCTATAATCACGTCCTACACCGTCCGCAAGATGGGGGACCACCTCCCATTTCAACACCTCTCACACACCGAGGGGTCGGCAGGCGGATTTGAACCCGGACACTCCGAGAGCAGAAGTCAGGCCTTAACCTCTGCCAGCCACCTGCCTGCGCATGTATGTATGTATGTGTATCCGTGGCCGCTCTCCGTGCTTACCTCCGGCCGCGTCCCTTTCCCCTCTGCCTCCACCTGTCTGTCTGTCTGTCTGTCCGGCCCTGTCACACCCGCACAACACTCGTAACCATGTGCTTCACAGCTACACACGCACCCCGTCTCATTACCCCTTTCCCCCTCGTTTTCCCCGCCGACATGTGCGTACATGTATACACGCATACATACATACTTACGTATATACATACGTACATACAAACATACATACAGCCGTGTTGGTTCATTGCGGAGCGGGGGTGAGTCGCAGCGCCACCTTGGTCGTCATGTACCTAATGCGACGTAACGCCTGGTCAGCCCAGAGAGCCAAAGACTTGGTTTCGGAGCGGAGAAGTGTGGTGGCGCTGAACGACGGGTTCTGGTTGACGCTGTGCGCTTTGGAGCCTTCCTTGGGGATTGCTGAGAGGTGGGTGGTTGGACGGGAGGGAATGGATTCCTGGTTCTTCTGTAGTGTTTTTATATGTATGTGCATGTGTCGGGAGGTGAAGGAGGGTTTTCGAGAGTTTCCTGTGTTCGTTTGTTTGTCCATTTGTTTGTTTTTCTGTTGGTTTGTTCGTTTGTTTGTATTTCTGTGGAGCTGGTACGGGTGCAGCTGTTCTGGTCTCTCGTTTGGACGCCAAAGTTCCCTTTCCTCACAAGTGACGGCAACGACTATAATCCGTAACGTTCCTGTTTCATTTCCCAAATCCAAGTCTCAACCACCAACCACCGCAACCCACCAACCGACGTATCATCTTCGCTCGCAGGAGTGACCCAACCGCTACCGCCGGCTTCAGAGGAGCCGACGCTCCGGAACCACAACAGCTAAAGGTGCAGCTGAGTAAGGACGCAGCGGGTGGCAAGGTGCCGGTCAGAATGTTGACCACCAGGGAAGTGCGGGAGGAGACGGGCGCCACCGGGGGAGGCGGGGACGGGGGTACTGCGGCGGCGGGTGTAAAGCGGCGCGGCGAGGGGGGCCCGGAGGGAGAGGAGGCCAACGGCGGCGGCGGCGGCGGCGGGGTAAAGCGGAGTCGGCTGGACGGCGGCGAGGGCACGATGCCTGGTGAGTATGTATGTACGTATGTATGTAGGGGAGGGGGCAGGCGGTGGCGGATGCATGGACGGGTCGTTCCGGCGTGTCTCGCTGGATTGGGGCTTCTGGTGTGCATCGACTGTAGATATAGACGAATGTGGCTCGACGATGTAGATGTGGCTGTTAAGGGTGAGGGGGGAAGTGGACTACGAGCAGCTACACGATCTGGAAGCGACGGGTGAGTCAGCCCGTAGGGTAGGGCCAAAGGCCAGAGGCGAGGCCTGTCGCCCTACCCTACGGGCTAGGCCAAAGCCTGTTTTTGTTTTAGAAGTCGTCATCCGTTCAGTAATGTTTTTGTCTGTTCCTCACTTGTGGATGTTGGGGATCGATCGATCATTACAGCCCTGGCCGGCAAGACCACCCCTTTTGCTACTTTCCCTAGTTTCGCCCTCTCATCCGCCCGCACTCTCGCCCCCTCCCTCCCCGCCACTCCGCTTGTTAGCTTCGTCCCTCGATGGTGGCGGAGGCGGAGGCGGCTTCCGCTTGTCCTTTGCAGTTCGCAAACCCGAGGGCCTTATGGGCCGACTGGATGTGGGCCCTATGCGCCCCACTCAGCGGCTAGTTCTAGGTCGCTCCACAGATTGCGATGTGGTTTTGGAGCATCCCTCCATTAGCCGACATCATGCGGCGCTCAGTGTGGATCGAACCGGGGCGGTGTTCGTCACGGACTTGCAGTCCGGTGAGCTACATGGCAGTTGAGGATTCCAGGGGGGTTTGGGAAGGGGGAATTGATTGTATTTAATTTTTTTATATTTTTTATTATATATTTTTTATTTATATTTATATATATGAGTAGTATATATATAGTTATTTTATAATTTATTTTATATAGTTTTTGGGTATTACATGTTGTTTGAAGGTCTGCCAAAACAACCGCCGAGGCCGTTGAGGCTGTTGTTGAGAGGTCGGGCAGCATCCCACCCCATCTACCCAGCAACTCACCATCCTGCACATGTACTGTCGTAACGTTTAAATAATACCCCCCGTGCACGTGAAATCGTTCCTTTTTATTATTACATCCTTCATCTGTACGCCCTTCATCACCGACGCACCTCTCCGCACCTCTCTGCCCTTTCTCTGCATCCCCCTCCTCAACCGGTCCTCCTCCCTTTCCTCTCCCCCCCCGCCCAATGCTCTGCCGTGTCGGTCGTACACCTGCTGCGGCCGCGCTTTGGTCAATCGTCCTCGTCCTCATCGATATCACCGTTGTGTCTCTCACGCTTTGGTCAATCATCCTCGTCATCGCCTCACGGGCCCACCTGTCCTCGGGCATCATCATCATCGTTTTCGACGTGTCGGGAAATACGGCACCAGGTCACGGCACCAAGGTGGCTGATGTGTGGATAAAGCCCAACGCCCCGCGCCAACTGCAAACCGGGCAGGCAATGGGTTTCGGAGCCAGTACACGGTCTTACAAGTTGTTATCCGTAGCGAAGGCCTGACGGGCAGACGCAACCGAATTGGTCAACTGGCCGATTGAACAACCAAGCGCGTAAATGTACTCATGTATACGGCTCCCTCCCTCGCCCCCCACTCCGTAACATCACTACAGACGAACTGACGACCGCAGCGAAGGGCATAACCCAACCCACTGCCAGCCAGCACTCACAGCCGCTCACACTTCGCGTCGCTTCATCTCTCACATCTGCCGGCACGCTTATTTCACTTGAGGCACGAACAAGCAAAAGCGAACCGAGTAACAGCGAACCAGCTCCCTGCTGATCTCGTCCTACACTTGACCTCCTGGCTTGGCTATCGATACTGGCCACAACCTCTTTATTACAGCAAAACCCAGCCAAGACACTCCTCTAAAAACACCCATCCCCCATTTGTTAGAAACACCGTAGTGATAGGGCCATCCAATTCCACTTAATGTTCCAGTTCGAATCCTTAAGACGAGCACGTGACGCAGAGCTTAGCGGCCCAGCCCGGCGGCCGTCCGTCGTACACAGGCAAACTGCACGACACGCCTGGCTCGGCGGCGGTACCGGAGGCCGCTTCAGGGCCCGCTGGCGGCGCCGCCGCCGCACCGGGTGCCGCCGCCGCCGCTGCCGCCGCCGCAACGGTACCGGTCTTGGCGTCCACGTTTCGTAGCAGCTCCGAAACGTCCTCATCGCTGAATGGATTACGCAATAGCGCATATACCCTGCACAGGCCGTGAGGGACAGTACGACATGCAGTACAAGACACGATTTGTAATTCCCGCACCGCTTTAGCACAAGTAGCTTAAAGAAGCGGGGAGGACAAGAAGCAGGACAGAACAGGCGTCGCCACACTTGCTTGTACAGGTTAAGAGATGTTACCAGCACACGTCCTCCCTCCTTGGGAAAAAAACGACCAGACTTGACCTCCAAACCTCAAGACTCGCTCTACGATACTGTCTAAAATTATAACCCTACGCAACGCCCTGCCTTCGCATATACAGACAAACAGGCAAACACGCACCTGGTCACCTCCGAAAAGTCGCCCTTCTCCGCCTTTTCGATAGCTTGCTGGGCAATCCAATTCCGCAAGATAAAGCGCGGGTTTGTTGCGTTCATAACCGCCGGCCGCATCCCAGCATCGAGCCGGCCGGCTGCCATGGCGCGCTGGAGGCGGGCGCCGTACGACGCCAGCCAGGCTGCCCACCGCTCCCGGTCGCGGAGCCGTTTGTCCTCGTCATTTTGCTTGGCCAATTGCTCGGAGCGCTTGAGCCTCGCCATCTCGGCGTTCAGCATCTGGACACAATAGCGGATAGTACGAGTTTTACGGGAAGTTTTACGGGAAGTTTTACGGGAAGTTTTACGGGAATGAAGGAGGTGAAAGTGTCCACATTCAGCGACCCCCCACGCACCTGCGGTGTAAGGCCCATTTGGTGCAGCAGCTCAGGGTTCTTCCCCGCCAACATCGCCAACATCTGCAGGTTGTTGGCAGGTATGCGCGGCCCCGCGGCAGCCGCCAGCGTCGCTGCATCGGCGACCTGTCATATCCGTCCGTACAAGTCGTACAGGTCGGTGTCGAAGGTGACAAAAGCAACAGCAGCAACCACACTGACAATGGCAGTGGGCAACGATATGTCGTAACGAAGGTGGAGAAAGCAATAACAGACAACATGCCTACTGGGACGGGCAGCGTGTTACCGTACACAGTTACCGTACACGTTACCGTACACAGTACTGCAGCCCACTCCCGATGGTCAGGCACCGGTGCCGCGCATGTGCCTGCGCTGCTCTGTACGGCAACGGTTGTGTCGTACCTGTGTCAGGATGTAGTCCAGCACACCGCCCGCCTCCACCACCGCGGTCGATGAGGGTTCGGCTCCAGGGGGCGGTACGGGGAAGCGACTGAGGCACCTGGAAAGGGGGAAAGGAAAGGAGAAGTCGGAAAAGAAACAGACCAGCCATCCGTACAACACGAAGGTATGCGAGGAGACCAGAACGTAAGAAAAAGATGCCGTCTAATGCATCAGAAGGCAGAAGGCCCTGGCAAAACCAGCTCTCCGCATCCAATTCCAAATCTAACAACGGAAAACGGTCCCTATTTACTAATAGTTACACCTCGCAGTGGAACAGACAGACAGACAGACAAAAGAGCAAACCTCTTGCCCAACCCCGCAAGTCACCTCGGCCCTGTGCTTGCCTAAAGGTGTTGGTGAAGTCTGCGCCCGTCTCCTCCATCACCGTCAGGAGCTCCGAAACCAGCATCTCGTCCTCACCCGCGTCCGCATCGATATCTCCAACATCTCCAATACCAGCAGCACCAGCAGCAGCGCCGGAGCCTTGCAGCGCACCTGCCATCTCCCCTTCCAGGCCCTCCCTTGGTGTCGCCAGTCCCAACTTGCGCCGCATGAGGCCCAGATAGGTCCTGTTGCAGGTAGTGGAGTAGGGGAGAGATGGAGTGCACGCGGATGGGGCCACAGGAGAGGCGAGGCGAGCCGTATGAAACATGCGCGGGGTGCGGATTCGACAGCAGACACGCGAGAACTGCGACACGGGGGATATTCCTTTCCCAAACACGGTTACGTCGCGGTTAGGTACGGTTAGGCACGGTTACGTCACGGTTAGGCACGGTTAAGGAGGAAAACCCCGAAACGCAGTGTACGAGAATTATTAGATGATGTACAAAGTTTTGAGAAACAAGGGGCTGTAGCTTGCAAGCAGCGGCAATTTTGAATTGAAGCAAAAGGAAAAGCGCTGACGTCAGCAAGTTACCGAGAGCCCCCGAGTTGGAGGGAGGGGGACGGAAGCAAGAGGGGTTGCAGAGGGGGGAGGAAATACGACATGCCCGTCTTCGCTGCACGCATGCACACATCGCTACCGTTCGTAAAATTACTTGAAATTCATGAGGTCTATGAAATGGCCAATGACACATTCAAGCGCGTACGACAAGCCGTACGCCGTACCATCGTACCCCAACGGACCTGCGGTACACGGGGTCGAAGGTCTCTGCCACAGCCCGCTTGCCCCTGGCCTCGGGAAGCACCGTACGAATGGCCTCAGCGAGCTTCTCACAGTTCCACCTGGTTTGGAGGCCGCCGTGGGAGGGGGGAGAGGCGGGGATGTTGTTGGGGGGGGGCGAAAGAGAGTATGTCCATGTGTGCGTGTGTGTGTTTTACGGAAGGTGGGATTTGGGAATGTCATGCAAGAGAATGTGAATTCAGCTCCCTCCCCCCTCCCTCCCCTCCCCCCTTCCCCTCCCCCTCCCTCCAGCCTCCATTATCTTCCCACCTGCAAATGTCCGGCTGGCTCTTGTAGTCGTAACGGCCGCTGTCGTCGGAGCCGTTGCAAATGTGGTCCGGGTCGTAGCGGTCCAGGAAACCTGAAGCGAGGAGGGAGGTGTGGATGAAAAAACACAGAGTGGTGGTGGCGGCGGCGGTGGTGGTGGTGGCGGTGTGTGGGGGGAGCCAGCAGTATATGCGAATAAGCCAGCAGTAGCAGTAGCAGTAGCAGCAGCAGTAGCAGAAGGTACTAGACATAGAGTAAAGAATAGAGGAAAGGAACGGGAAGAAGACGCGACTCAGAAGATCGAGGTGGCGCGGGTCGGGGTGGCTGGCGGGCCCTCTCCCAACCACCTACCGGGATATTCCACCCCCCTGTCGTACCATTCCCATCTCCCCACAACAGCATCCCTCCGAGCCGTCCACAGGGCCCGGGGCCACTCAACACATACATACGTACATACATACAAACACTGCGTGTGCGCAGTTCTTCCCAAGCTCCCCTAAACCCACCGAAAGGTCCGTAATCCAGTGTCACTCCCACTACGCTCATGTTGTCGGTGTTGAGCACCCCGTGACACCAGCCCACGCACTGCCAGGCGGCGACAAGTGAGGCAGTGCGGCGGGTCACCTGTTCGGGGGCAGATCCGGGGGGGGGGGGTGTTGAACGGGGGTGGTAGGGACGGATGTGAGCGAGGAGCGACGAGGGGGGAATCTGATGGAGATACCCACGGCGGTGGTGGGGGCATCGTTGGCATCGTGCATAATGCTTTATAAGGTTCAGCTAATATGTTAATTAGATCTTTGACAAGGGCAAAAAGCAAATCACGTATTAGTACTTTTTTTATAATACAGCTAATGCTGAATCGGTTGTGGATAGGACAGGGCTGGAGTTGCGTCGGATGCTCGTCCACTACCTCTTGCCTTATATCTTGATTTCTGTATGGCTCCCAGTAATCCGTGGTGGAGGCCTCTTGCATCCCAACCCACCAGCCAACCAACGAATTAAAACCACTAACCAACCAACCAACTGCCGCACCTCTATCAGCCAGTCCAGGTACATGGCTTGCAGCCGGGCCTCCACCTCCAGGCCCCCCTCTGGCGGCCAGGGCGCACCGCCGCTGCCATCAGAGGCCACCCCCACCCCCGCGGAGATGGCGTCACCCTGATGGGAGGCCCATATGTCGGGGAAGTATGTACGGATGGTGTGGTGCAGCAAGGTGGGCAGCATGGCCACCTCCTGACCCGCAGATGAGCCTCGGCGACCTGGAGTTTGAGATAGGTGTGTAGAGGGAAGGTGAAAGGAGGAAGGGTGATGCGTGTTCGGTACGTGTACGCCGTGTGTGCACGACAAGTTCGACATGTAGCATGTTAGGAGTGTTGTAGTAAGTCAGCGTTACCCATTGGCACTAATGAGTTCTAGTCAGCCGCAGGCGAGGCAGAGCCAAGGGATGTGACATCCCTTGGCTTCGTGACAGTCACGAAAAGACAGTGGTGACGGTGGTGGTGAAAATTAAAGCAAGTTTTAACCATAAAAGGTATCTTTGTAATTTAAGTTTTAAAATGGATGAAGTCATTCAGAAACGTATGGTAAAGCTTGAGAACGAAGCTTGAGAAACGTATGTCAAAGCTTGAGACAAAGAAAGAGACACCGCGAAAATACGAAAAGAATTGTTGAAAAGAGAAGAGATTAAAAAAGGAATTAAAAGGAAAAGGAAAAATAAAGGAAACGAGAAAAGGCAAATGGAATAACCTGACAGAATGTGTGCGCGCAACGAAAGCAATGAAAAATATATATTTTCACAAAACAGTTGGTTGCCTCGCAGAGGACCCGTCGGGTGGCCCAGCCGCCCACTCAGGCATGCGATCCGTCTGCCGCCCGCAGCTATCCGTTTTCGCTGCTCAGGTTACTGCCTCACGCGGTCCCAGATTAATCATCAACCACGACCATCCCCCATCAGGGAGACGCCGTTGTCGACTGTAGGCTCAGAGCGGACACGCCATCGACGCAGAAGAACTGGACCGACGGTATCATGCGGAACTTCCAACTATCAGCCCCCGCTCGGGTGACAGGGAGACGCGACACTCCCCGGCATGATTCGAACCCCTGACCTTGACTTTACGCCAAGGTACAGGCTTAGTGGACATGTTATGAAGTGCATATTATAATTATATATACTAAGGAATGGTATACTAAGAAATGGTCCGAAACGTCGCGAAATCTCGGTAAAGCAGAATCATGCAACATGCATTCTGAGCTGGCGAAGAAAACAGTGGCTTACGACCGCCGAGCGTTGCTGAGTTCTGGAGCGGGTTAGCTCTCCTACGTTTCGGTGCTTTATTTGCTTCTGAATCCCTGCTTTGTGTATATTACGGCCCCAGTGGGGCAGTGGTGTGCATGCCGTGTAACGGAGTGTTTGCAGAAAAGCCATCTCGTTCAGTTTCGTGAGGTGTTTCGTGATGTGTGCCGCGTTAAGCCATACCATATGCTGCACATGCACATAACATTGTCCCAAATTGGACAGTACATGTGTCGTACTATGCATACCACCTGTAAAGGCATCTACGGGCTTGAAGATCTCGAACGACCCGAATCGCAAAAAGGTTGGCGCGATACGTGTGATGATCGTTGCCTTCTCCAGAATGGCGTTACCGTCATAAAACACGTCACGCACGACTCGGGTGTCTGACGTAACGCACGTGCCGGCCCGTGTGGTTGGCACTCCCTGCAGTCGGTTATGGCCCGGTAAATGGAGATGAACAAAATAATTCAACAAAATTCGAAAGTGGAAGTCGTTAGCAGCGCTTAGTTTTTTGATGTCCACAAGACAGTACTGTCGTGTACTGTACGACTAATCGTACAACATAATTTTCATGCACATATCATTTTTTCACGTTGAAGTTGAAGCAGTTACCATGAGTCACACGAGGATAAACCCACAGCCAATACGGGGAATACATGACGGAAAGCATCAACCCAGACACGTGACCAGCAATTTCCGGTCTAGATCCGAAACGAGTAAAGGACAGCCCTTCTCCCTTTCTCCCCCCGTCCTTCCCTCCCCCTCTCTCTCTCTTCCCTCCCGTTCCCTGCCACCGCACCAGATGATACATGGCCTCGCTACAAAGGAACTCTCGAAGGGAGGAACGGAGAACCTTGCGACCATCGGCCTGGGCAGGAAGGGGGGCAGGAAGGGGGGCAGGAAGGGGGGCAGGAAGGGGGGCAGGAAGGGGGCCGGCTTATGAAGATCCGGAAAAGGAAAGCATGCAGAATCTTGTTAGGGCATTCAGGCTTTTTGTCGGCCGAGGCTTTCTTCGGAAAGGCTTCCCGCCTCCAGGGAGATGTGGGGTACGACATCATTGAAGGTGCCGACGAGTAGAAACCAACTCAACGGTTGAAAGTGTTTCTGCTAAAAGATAGAGCAAGAGACACAAAGTGAGATGCACAGCGAGGCGTAGATAGATATTAGATACTTAGGTAAGAGATGGAGCCCCAGTTTCGGATTCTGACCATGATATGGACTCTGACTCCAGGTTTAGAGGAAACAATAAAAAGTCCGACAAAGCGAGGCATTGAGGCACGGGGCATCCCATGGAAAGAAGTGGATTTCAATCAACAATGGGGAATCCGTGTGGGGCAGCGCCTGCCGGCCCCGTGCCAGTCCCCTAGGCCCACGCGTGCCACAAAACACATAGTCATCGTACAACTGCCCTACCTGTCGGCTGTACGGCGTCTTCCCGGCGCCCTTGAACTGCAGCTCCCACCGCTCGCCACGACTATTCACCACCTGCAGTTGTACGGCACCGGTAATGCCGTGTACGGCAAACGGAGGGCATCACATACAACTCAAGGATAAGAGTATTATACCAGTGCTTGGTATGCATATCTCCAACCACCTCTCCCCTCCCTCCGCACACAGCAAATGTACATCGGACAACAAATGTACGACAGCGTACGACATATACGGCATATGCGTTCAGGAATGAATTCATTAACATCCTCTCACTCACCTCCCCCAGGTACATGGCCGCTCCATCCCCCAGCTGCCCACTGAAGTAGCCGAACTGGTGGCCGCAGTAGCAGTGCGCGGCGGCTTCAGCCCCAGGCAGTAGCTTGTTCCCACAGAAGTACTCGGCAAAGTCGGGCCGGTCGATCTGGGTCAGGTCAAAACAATGTGTGTGTGGGGGGGGAGAGAGGGAGGGGCCCGACAGGTCTAGCTCATGGAGGCGGCGGCCCAGAGCTTCACCAGGGAAGCAAGTATGAAATAAATTGCGCAAAGTTCCCTTTATAAAGCAAGGGTTTGTTATTAGGGTTTGTTATTAAAGCAAGGATAAGGCCAGCAGCAACGCAGGACAGCTAAGCGTCTCGCGTGTCCACACGGTTTCTGTTATCATTTAACAAGTAATTCATCAGTCGGGGTAAATCGCGAGGGTGACCCATGGGTCATCCACTGCGGAATAACCTGTCCGTCCCGCCAATCAAGGGAAGTTAAATATACAGCATGGTCCCCTCTCCCTTTCCGTCATCAAGCTCTTCCTGGCCGAGGCCTCCCTGGTCGCTATCTCGAAGGGGACCATGCGGCGAAGAAAGCAATCGCACCGTCATCCACGGCGGGGGAGCTGCCCTCAGGGCCGTCCGCAAGAGATACTAACCGCAAGAGATACTAACCGCAAGAGATACTAACCGCTTTTCGCAGGGCTTAGGGTTTGTCGCCGGCACTCCACTTTTTCTAAATTTCTGAAGGTGCCTAAGGTAGGTGAAACAAAATGTTTGACTTCCGTTGAAAGTTTATACCCAGTTTACACCCAGTTTATTACTCTAGGGTATTAGGCCCAAAACGAAAAAAAACACTGCAACCCACAAACCACTGGACGTGCATGTGTGCACAAGCAGAGAGAAGTAAGCAAGCCATCCGGCCAGAGCGAAAAGCAATAAGCGAAAGGCCCGCTTGCCCCCAAGACCAGCCTGCTTAAGTCACCAAGCCCAGACCCCGCCGGGCTCCCTTCCCCTCGTGGCCTACTGCTCAGCCCTCTTATGACCAGCCCAGCTGAGGACGCGGTAGCGATACTTGAGCTTTAGCACCCTGAAGTTTCAAAAGGGTTTTGAAATTCACCTCGGCAGGATCCACATCCAGCAAAGCTAGAGCCTCGGGGGAAGCGACCACTAGCTGGGGGTTGGAGACGGGGGTGGGATCGACCCGGGAGAAACAGGCGCCTTCCACTTGGCGCACCGGGCCGCCTTTGATAGGGTCCAGGGGCAGAGCCCGCAACGTCAGGTTGTCAAAGTTGAGATGCTCCAATTTGCGATGGGATGCCCGAGCAGCTGCCTTTTGTTGCTGCATTTCGTTCTCCATATTGGCTGTTGTATCTTGAACGGCTGGCAGCGTATGGGCTGCTGAAGGGAGGGCGGCCCTTAGACGGAGGAAGCGACTACCGCTAGACGTACTACTGTGGAGTCGTCGCGAACATCGCATCACCTGTTTAGTGCCAAGCAAATGCATGCTGTATTACGGAAAGTATGACACGACTTAGCATACTGAACGGTTATCCAGCTTGGGTGAAGTTCGCATGACTTCGCGAAAAGCCGTACTTCTGTGGTAGTGAAGGAAAACGTTGTCATTCTCGTTGTGACATCAAAGCGTCTTGCGTTGTATTACTGAGTACCAATTTTGGACTCCATTAAAGCCATGGCATTACTCCTGCAGCCCCCTCGTCTGAGCGTGGCACGTAAGTCCTAACTTCCGGGGCTTAATGCAGTGGGAGAAACTCTCATTGATAAATTCAGCATGTAGAATATTTGCCGTCTTTGTCTTTGCAGTTCATCGTCCCGGCGCCGCCCAAACTCGAAAGTTGGCATTACCGGTGAGTGCAAGCTCGGATGCTGTTAGTTAACCCGTCCGCTAGCGTCCATCTTTTGCCAACAAGCTCATGCCAGGTATAGGTGCTTCCTAGGTTTTCCATCAGTCGCGGTCTCGCCCCAGCTGTCGTCCATTCTGACGTGGACGCTGCATTGATGCTTTAACATTTGGCTGCAAAATCTGCCTGTGCCATTGCATTGCAGGCTAAATTTTCAGCTCCACGGATTACAATTTCAGTCCCTCGGCTGCCGTTTGCGGCTACAGTTGAAGCCCCAACCGCTCCTCAACCCGCTTCCGTTCGGCGGCCCGCCCTCTACCTTCTGCACCGGCACCTGCCGCGCAGCACCGACGGACAGGATGGCAGTGCCTCCCAACAGCATCTCCACCAGCTGCATGACGACCTGAAAGTGATGGAGAAGGTGGCGAAGCGAGCGGCATGGTTCTCCACCATAGAGGCTAGCGACGGCGAGCACGTGCTGCTCTTGACGGATTGCGCCAAGCTGGGTCGCAAGTATGGTCTGCAGACCATGCCAGCAGATGCAAGCAGCTTCACTCTTGACCTCCCAGGGCGCAGCGTGGTGGTGCCGCTTGCGGAGATCTCCACAGGGATGCAGGGCCATAAGAGAGCGGAACACTCCCAAGATGACGAGGAGGCTTCCTCCGATGAGGAAGACCCTATGGCTGTGGCGGGTGGGCAGGTGGGCATGCGAGCGCCGGTTTCCGCCCCTCCCCGCATATGACTCCCCGCACACCGCATCGCACCGCACCGCTATCATTTCACAAGGGGAGGAGGGCCGGGGAAAACGAGGGCCGGGTTGGGACGGGTTTTATACGAATGACAAGGATAGATTTCTCCTATTCCTATCTCTTGCTTGACTTATAAATAATGCCCCACGTTTCTTCCATGACGCCAGGTGGCCGTCACCGAGAAGGAGGCACAGAAGGCTGCTAAGAAGATGCGCAAGGAGGGCGCCAAGGCAGAGAAGAAGGCCAAGAAGGCAGCAGCAGGAGAGAGTGGAAAGGATGGTGAAGACAGCGACGAGTCGGATGAGGAAGAGGAAGAAGAGAAGGACAAAAAGAAGGCGGCAAAGGCTGAAAAGAAGAAGAAGGACAAGGAGGAGGAGGAGGAGGAGGAGGAGAAGAAAAAGAAGAAGAAGGACAAGATGTTACAGAAGCAGGAGGAGAAGAAGTCCATGATGGCCAAGGAGACGGATGATGACTCGGATGAGGAGGAAAGCAGTGGAAGTGAGAGTGAGAGTGATGAGGGGGAGAAGTTGGGCTCTGCCAACAAGGCCGAGATGAAGGCTGCGAAGGTGCCTGACGACAGTGGAAGTGAATCCGAGGAAGAGGAGGAAGATGGCAGTGATGGGTCTTCAGGAGACGAGGAGGTCACAATTCCTCAAGCCACGATGGAGCCGCAGGCCAGGGAGGGTGCAGAGGGTCAGCCATTGATGGGCCAGGAGGACGACAGCGAGTCGGAGGACGAGAGCAGCTCGGAGTCGGAGTCTGAGTCGGATGAGAGTGGCGTGGATTCAGACGAGGAGGCGGCGATGGGCATGAAGCTCGTGGAGGTTGGTGAGATCAAGCCCCTGGAGGCGTGACTAGGCGCGTGTATGGCCAGGAAGACATGAACACTTCAGTTCCGCTCTGCTGTAAGCCGCATGAACGGCTACAGCTAGAGGGCAACCTATGTATATATTCCTATTTAAGAAACTACCCATACATCTATCTGGGGGCAAATCCCCCACCGTTGGTGTAGCGTTGTGTTTGTTGCTGGTTGCGATTGTGTTGCTGAGTCGATGATGGGATAGGATAGAGCTGTGGAGGTGAAATTGGCAACCAAGTCGGTAATAGCATTTTAGTCATTAAGACAGTCCAGCTGTTGCAGATGATGTTCAGAATCTTAGCTGATGCATGTTCGGATGGTGATTTTGCTTCCTGGTGTATGGTGTCCTAGAAGAAGAAAGGAAGGAGAGAGGAAAAGAGCAGCAAGACATGTGTGTGCAACACGGCGCCCGATAGGTATTGGTGTCAGTAGATGATTGTGGAGCAAAGCTGCATTTGCTGGAAAGTTGCGGTTAGTTTCCGCTCTAGCGCGTGGTGGATTACTTGGTCTGCCTGGTTACCATTGCAGTCATGTTGTGGGCTGGAGCAGCCAGAACGGCCAGTCTGGCCCCGCGTGTAGTGTTTTTTTTCTTGGCTACTACAGCCATTATTGTGCTCGTGGGAACGAAGCCCAATGCAGAGGCCCAATGCAGAGGGGCTTTTTTTAACCCTAGCCTTCTACCCAGCCATTCAGACATGCTAGGTGATTCGGTTGTTGAAGTCGGTTGAACGTTTTGGTGGCCTTTTTCTGTTCCTTTTCGTGTTGGCTGTGTATCTTTTTGCGGATCAAGGTCGGGTGTTGTTACCGGTCTGCAGGAAGGTGTAGTGGCGCCTACTGTCAGGTGCCCTCACCCTGGTGGTTATGTCTCGTACTGCCAGCTGTACAGCAGGCGATGGAGTTCCGTACATCCTCGCTTGGCATGCTCTTGCTGAATAAAAGGGGAACTGTTCTCGGTTTGACAAGTGTCTCTTTCCTTGCTGTTGTGGGCGTGGTGCTTCTTGCATGGCCTTATGCTTTATCGATATTTCGAATAAAGTGATTGTAATAATGAGGGCAACACGTAGACATGGTGTGTGTGTGTGTGTGTGTGCGGATTGTTTAAAGCTGTTAGTGGCGTTAAGTTGCATGGACATGGCCCTTGTCCATAAATTACGTGTTGCGTTTTGTGCACTCGCGGGCGCGCTTGCTCTTGGCCTGCGTGATGTGGAGCTGCTTTGTGCAGCTTTCCCCCGCTTTATGCGAAGTAAACATCATCTGCAAAGGTAGCCGGTCTAAAGAACTGCTGGTTACAAGCGATAGAAACCCCATACTTGGTGCAGTGCTCCCCCAGCCGCGGCTGCTGTGCATGCATCCTTTAGGCAGCGGGGCAGCTAGACACCCCTGCCCAAAAGTACAGCAAATCTTTGAGGCACCGAACATAACGAGTATCCATGGATAACAGACATATTTTAAAAAGATGCATATCATCCTTTTCGCATGAACTGACTTTTTTTATCTTTGATCACTAGTGAAGGGGAAAACACACATCTTTGCAAATTCACCTCTGGTGAAAAACCCATGAACCCTCCCCCCCCCACACACACACATACAGACACCAGCTGTCCATCATTTCGCCGCCAGTCCTTTAGTCCTTCAGTCCAATGCATTTCCTGCCACTGAAACTACAGAACACATCTCCGCAAGCCGTGACATTGCTCGGTGGTACATGAGCACCTCCTCTCCAAGGACAAAGCGGGGCACCGCCAAGTCAGCAGGCGAAGGGCGTGGTTGCGAGGGAGCGGCGCCATGTAGCGCCGCACCGGTGAACTCGCTCGGATGAACGTTATCATCAACGACTGCTGATGATGACCCCGGAATGTGAGTCCTAGGGGGACCTTGACTTGCGGTGGGCTCTGTGATGGTGCTGGGCAGCGGTGGAGTGGCGGAGGGCACGACGAAATCGGACGCGGCGGCGGCTCTTCTTGCAGCAGTGGGCTGTTCTTCAGTAGTGACCGCTGAGGCGGCTGCCGGCGGCAGTGAAGTGGTCGTTGCGGCAGCACCAGTGGCTGTGTTCGCCCCCTGATGGTGCTTCGCCTCAGCCTGGCTGGCGGTCTTGGGCAGACTCAGGCGCGGGTAGATGCCCTGCGGCATATTGCAATACTAGCTCTTATGGGATGCATCCCATAAGATCATCCCATGTGGGAGCATCCCATAAGATGCCTTCTTACCCGTACCATCCTCCGTATCATATTATTATAAACATCAGGGAGAGGAAGTAAAGAAGATGTAATCGTCATATGGCCTTGCGTCAAAAGGAATGCAGAGGAGGACTTACAAACATACATGCATACATGCACACATGCGCAAATCATGATGGCCAAGTATTATAAGGGATATCGGCCACTAGGACCAATATTGGTTTAGATTACGCATTGGAATGCACGGGCGTGTGCAGGAATTGGGATGATGTAGTGTACGACGCACCTGGCGGCGGGCTTCCTCCAGCAGCGGTGCAAAGAGTGCGTCCGGCGGAACGCTCGCCGCCACCACCAGGCGGCACCTGGGACGGGGTTAGTCATTGGCAGGAGGGGAGGAGTCGTGCGCCGTCACGGCAGTCATGGTAGTCATGGCCGCGATGACGATACTGGTGGCGGTGCTTCTCCATTTTTCTCCACACACATTTTTCCCTTAACACGCCAAAACGTGCGAACATAAAATATGAGAGAAGCCACCTTAAATTCCTATTCCTGCAACCCCATCCCAAGTCGAAAGCCACACGACACTCGCCTAACATCCCCTATTAGAGAGTCTCGTACATGGCCGTAAACCACCCACTTGTTGTCGTACGCTACGTCCAGCAACGTCACAAATCTCCGCGCCTCGTCACGCTGGGCTGGTCCCAGCTCCGGAACCCCCGTGATGTATAGCTCCCTGGAAAGGGGCCGACTCCAGCGAGGGCGAAATACAGGATAGATCCCACGGCGATGTGGTGGGAGTGAGTGCGGCAATACGGGAGTCCAGGTAGGTAGGTAGGTTGGTAGGTAGGTAGGTAGGTAGGTAGGGACGGAGGGACGGCGGGAGGGAGGAAGGGAGGGAGGGAGGGAGGGAGGGAGGTTTATCGGCAGCCTTTTCCTTGAGGAGATGAAAAAAAAGTAAGAAAGAAAGGAATGCACGGAAGACGGAAGGGTAATAAAGTTTAACAATATTCGCGATGAGTTTATAAACAAAGTCTCGAACGACGCGTTAAGATCGGCGGTGCCAGCCAACTACCCGACGCTTTTCGGGCCCTGCACGTAGAAGAATGGAGAAAGTGCGGGAAGCAACATCTGCTGCGTGAAAGATTTGCGAGCCGTTCCATTTGGGAGATGTAAAGATGATGACACCGCGCACACAATCTGTCAACACACAAATCCGTTGGAATCCGTTGGCCACATCACATGCCTTTGGTTTTTCCCATCCTTAACAAAATGAATAACAAAACAAACCGACCCACCCACCTACTCCACCAACAGCCGCATCCCACCTGAAGTGGCGGCACAGCGCCAGAAAGCACGGAGCCGCCAGTGCGCCGCCGTCGTCTACCGCTGCTCGGAGGCCCACCGCACCGCATAGTTGCTCAAATGTGAACCAGGCTGCGGCCAACGACCCACAGGTCAGTTAATGGTTGGACGGTTAACCGGGTAGTTGGCAAACAGTCAATCCATCAGATAGTCAGCTAGGAACTCCTCGACGTGATCCACGTCCTAAAACATTAATTTCTAACATTTATTTTACAAACACTTGTTGGCGCTCCTGCTTTCTTTATAAATCAGGAAAAATCAGAAAACGATTTAACGAAAGATATACTTTTGAGGATAAAATCAGTCAAATTCAGTTGTATGGCTGTGACGTATACACATATGTGTGTATATATATGTATGTATGTTTGTATGTGTGTAACACCTCGGTTTGCGCTACCCCGGTAGGTAGGTAGAGGGAGGTGTAACGAGGAGTGTGCCCACACACATACGAGCTGGCAAGGATAGAGGCGCAAGAGCCTCCTAAGAGCCACATAACCTAGATTTGGAACATGGATATATATGCACACACATATATATACACAGATGTATATAAACATACATACACACATACATATACGTCCTAGAGTTGCGATATACCTGCATCGCCCAAGGCGTACGGCACCTTGAGCGTCCTGCCGTACGCCAGAGGTACCACCACAGGAACGCCACCGCCGCCTCTGTCGCCGGTAGCTGCATCCCATAGGCTCCGAAGCCGCTCCTCCGCTGCTGCCGCCGCCCCCGCTCCGGAACCAAGGAGCCAACGGCCAGGGGGCTTCTGTAAATCCTGAATTGGCGACGGGGAAGGTGCCGTACACCGTACGACATGACGTGTTCTTGCTACGGAAGATAGCTCCCGGGGAGATCATCTACGGGACGCATGGAGACACAGTTTAACAAACCCAGGAGGTGTTCCCGCCACCACACCGCACCAGAGGGGGTCAAGGACCTGTTAGTGCCTAAATAGGCCCCTTCCTTTTGTGCCGCTTTCTTTTTTACTTTTGCGCCGCTTTTTTTACTTTTGCGCCGCTTTCTTTTTTACTTTTGCGCCCCTTTTTTTACTTTTGCGCTGCTTTTTTTTCAAGCGTCACGACAGGTCAGGTTGGCGAGACAGGTTAAGGAGGAGAGGTGTATCCAAACAGGCCCCCGCGTACCTGGCCAGCCAAATCTTTCAAAGCAGATTCTGACGTCACGGCGGCTGGCCCCGCCGCCGCCGTACCCTCGACCGCATCACCATCGTCTGCTTGCCGCCGTACAGCAGAAACCGGCTCCGCTGCGGCGGCGGCTGCCCGCCGCCGGTAATCCACCTCCGCTGCAACGCGTAATACAAGCATTTGCTCGTCCACTAACCGTACGAACGGCTCGAAGTACTTTCGACTGAGGCCGCCCTTGTAGAGGTCGTTGGGCGGTCGGTTGGATGTGAAGAGCACAGTCGTACGGAAATCCAGTAAGAGAGAGCCGAATAGCCTGAGGGGCCAAACAAGGTAGAGCAAAGAAGTTATGGGAAAAACGCCGGCGGCCGGCCTAGATTCAAACAAGGGCCGACGATGCGAGAGGGATGGGAGGGAGGGACCGCAAGGCTGCGGAACGCATGTAAGAAAGGCAGGGAGTGAGAAATTGGGAAGAGATGCGCAGAGAAGGGGTTTAAATCAGCAGATGAGGAGGAAAAGATTATGTGGCGGGCGTGTAAGCAAGATCTCGAGATCACGTATATGTATTATTTATCTTACATAATTTTTATGTTTTAAATTATATGTATGTATACAAATGCATATTATGTGCGTATACATGTCATCGCGCATCAAAAAAGACGCTCAAACCCATGGGCTGGCTACCTGCACAACCCCCGCGCTCCGAGGGCCCGTACAGCCAACCCGCATCCCGCCCTCCACACCACCATGTACACACACGCACACAGACAGACAGACAGACAGACAGACAGACAGACAGACCACCGCCTTGACACCTAAAGCCCCGCCCGCCTGCCGCGCATAGGGAAACTGACCGGGGCGAACTAACCCCCTAGCGCGGTTGACTGCTGACCAGCCCCAGTTATTAGAGTGGGGCCGGTCGCGGCCCGCAACCTCTGCATGACCAGGTATGGTTGTGCCGAGTAGTAGAGTCTCCGGGCCGTAGCGAGAGGTCGTAGCCACGTTTGTAGGGCTCTTTTTCTGGGCTCAAGGCACCGCGGCCCAGGGCGGCCCCTCATCACGGGGAAGAGGAGGGGGGCCCGCCCGGGTGATGTTGTGCAAGGAACCACCCGGGGTGGGCAGCAAGCCGCGCCTGGTGCAAATGGTGCAAAGGCTGCATGGACGCAACTGATGTGCCGCAGCGCGTGCTGAGGTTGGTTGTGAGGGGGCCTTTCGTAGCCACCCCGTGCACTCTTTCATCATCATGGCGGATTACATGAAGCAGAGTCGTTAGAGACACCGGGGGGGTCGCGCGCCCTCGGTCGGGCAGGAGGGGACTGTGGGGGCGGCCCCTCACGCCCCTCTCCTCCCCCGCCGCTAGGGGGGAGAGTGCTTCGGCACAGTCCTGCCCTTGGCCAGCCTCCGGCCCGGATCGATATGTAACAGAAACACACCCACAGACACACATACACACAGACACACAGACACACCTGGACAGGATCATGGCGTCCGCAACATCAGTCACATGCAGCTCGTCCAAGCACAGTACGGCAGTACGGCGCCCCCATTCCCGCGCGACTGTGATCAAAGGATCCTCTTCGGGCTCCGCGTACCTGCGTGTACGGAAGTTCAGGTTGGGCGCTGAGGTTGCACTGCCTGTGCCCCAAATGCAAACAGCCATTCCCAGGGTCCAGGCAGTGGTGGCATTCCCGGGAGCCAGGGGACATGCACATAGAGCCCGATTATACGAAGGTTAGGTTCTGGTCCCTGGATAGAGAGAAGTACGCGACCCTGGAATACGGTCCGTGAATAGAGCCGTATCGTAGTACGCGAACACTAGATGGGTTGCCCGACGGATCCTAGGCGCCCTGGACCTGTAGGAGGTACAACCCACGCTGTTTCCCGCTATCTTTAGCTGACTTTAGCTATCTCCGGCGAACGCAGCGCTATCCCCTACCCCTACTCCCTACCCCTACCTTCTGTCTACTTGGTGCCACGGACCACCCGCAGTTGGTGGGTAATGGGCCGCATTCCTGTTTCCCACTCACTCACTCAGTCGCTCACTCAGTCGCTCACTCAGTCGCTCACTCACTCACTCACGCAACCCCCGACCCACCCACTCACCCACCCACTCACTCACCTGTACACCAGCATTCCCTGCCTGCTGCGAGCCACAATCCGGGGCCTCTGCACCTGCAGCTCGTGAAGACGTCCGTGGACTCCCAGCATGAACTCGTGGAAGTGCTGGCGGATGCACACATCCGTGCCACCGAAACGAGAATCGCCTATAGGCGCCGGGAAGCGAGCCGACGCCGACGCCGACGCCGACGCCGATGCCGTCACCGCCGCCGCCGACAGCTGCTGCTGCTGCTGCTGCTGCAGCGGCGGCGCGGCTGCCTCTGCCTCTGTCGCTGTCACCGCCATCGTTGCCTCCTCCAACCGCACCCGTGTTGTTTCCGCGAACAGATCCATGACGGCGGTCTTCCCGGATCCCACGGGGCCCCATAGGTAGGCTCCTCGGAGTGCGGCAGGTGGCGGCGGCGCGGGCGGCGGTGTCGCGTATGATGCGGCGTCTAGGCCATCGTCAGTGGTGTACCGTGCCTGTGCTCTCGCCGCTTCGCCGTCGCTGCTGGTGCTTCCGGCGTTGCCGCCGCCGTCGTTTTGACGAGCTGCGGGTGGTGCATGGCGGGGCGATGTGTGTATGGGGGGGTTGGGGTGGGGGAGGGGAAAGACGAACCACGTGAACGAGTGAAGCTGCTGCCAGGGCAAGAGTGTACCAGGAGTAGAACTGACCAAGAGGCGTTCTTGAAGGCGGCGACCTCGGGATGATGTAGCGAAGGCCGGGGGGGGGGCGGGATGATGTAGTGAGGAAACTACCTACCTACCTAGCCGCCAGGACTAAAAAAGCGCGGGAAAAACAGTAATGCCAAGCCGTAAAAAAGTAGGTGTAGAAAAGAGGGGGGGGAGAAAGACGGGTTTGGGTTTGGTAGGTGCGCGGCGTGTTCGGGGCAGCCCGCGGCTTGGGAAGGTGGTGTGTGTGTGTGTGTGTGTGTGTGTGTGTGTGTGTGTGTGTGTGTGTGTGTGTGTGTGTGTGTGTGTGTGTGTGTGTGTGTGTGTGTGTGTATACGGGGGGGAACTGAAGCTCGCGCAGTGCGTGCACTTATACAACACGCGCTTAAATTTATGATGCGCCAGGGCGCGATTTCAACCCACAGGAATCTGCAAAGGACGTAGGATCGTACGGACATACGATTATGATACTGCTATGTGTGTTTGGGCGTGGTTGCGCCATCATTGGAGAAAAACATTTTCGGAGGAGCGAAAGGAGAGGAAAATGCGCAACTTTTGAAAGGAAACTCCTCTTCCTTCTACCGGTCACGCCAACCGGCTCTCAAAAATCCCCCCGCACTAAATGGTGGTTGTTGCGGCGATCTACCTCACCAGCTCGTTGGGCCTCTCGGACAAGTACGGCATCTTGCAGCAGCTGCAGCGCGCGTACGGCTGCCGCCTGTGTGGCGTCCGGAAGTAACGAGCCGCGTTGAAGTAACCTGGTTTTTAGGGGTTGGGGGATTTTGGAAGCGCTTTAGAGCCCCGGGGAAGGCGCTGTAGGTATTGAAGCTGGGGCTGAGAACGTAAGGTGACGAGGGGAAGAACATTTTTTCACTCAAACGCCTTGAGATGTATCTTTTCACAGGACAGTTATGCGACTCGTTTTCGTTTAGGTGGTAGATATGTTACTCGCGGGCTGGAGTTACAGAATACATGTAGAGCGAAACAGCTATCGACTTGTTGTACGTGCTGGACCCACCGCTGGTACGAAGCCAGCAGGTTGCCTACGTGGGTCTTGTTCGCATCATCTCTGGCACCACAACTGAAGGAAACCCTTGCTCCTGCTCCGTCGGCTTTGAGCAAGTTGGAAAGTGTACAGCGCTTGCGAAGGACAGGCCCCAGGATCATTATACCTCATTTCAAAGAATCCTGCATGCGCGGATCCACACTGTATCCAAGCGTGTGTCGCAAGCGAGTGGAAAACGCAGGTGGTGCAGCGAGGTACGGCAACGTTTGTAATCATAATGCATACATGTTCAAGGGTGTTATTTGGAGCGAGTCCTTGTCGACAAACTTGAAAACTTTTGAACGCGGCCCATACATCATACAAGAACGCCGATGTATCGACAGTTGAAGCTTTTATTAAAGTCGCTCAGGTGACAGGATCGTTTCTCTGGGCGAAAAACTTTGTAGTTGTTTCGATTGCTTTAAAACTCTTGGAGACGATATGCACGCGATAGCTTTCTATCTGTCCCGAACTTGTCAGTAGAGCTCGACCTCAGTCGACTTTGCCTTAAAAACCCATGAGTTCCCTGGGAAGCTCCCAGCAAGATGCACCATCGGTGTTCCGCCTTCCTGATTTTGTATGGGAGAGCATTATCTGCCGATTGCGGACCCATCATCGTGCAAAGCTGCGAGGTGCATGCCGGAAGTTCAGGACACTTGTAAATAATACTGTTAAAAAAGTTAAGGTGAGCTTGACGCCTGTCTCACAAAAACTTTCGGAAGACAGCTTACGGCATCTGCACGTAGCGGCATCCATGCTGGGGCACGGACGTTCCAGCGCACCAAGAATATACACATATTGCCACTGCTATCGCTATCGGAACCAAAATTTCAACCTCTCTTCCCCCGTGCGAGCTTGTACTGGCTGGTTCTTACTGTGCTTGTTACTGATGGGGATGGCAAAGAGCACGTTACTATCAAGCTCATATTAGAGATTTGTTACAAGCAACAATGTCGCCATCGTCAGGTGAATGGAATTGCGGCCCGCGGGTCTGTTCGCGCATGGTTTTGCCCAGATCATGCTCTTCGGCGGAGAGGCCGTGAGGGGTGTAACCTGTGTGGTTTGCAGAACCCCTGTATTATGCCTTCTAGGAGCTTTACCAGCCACGATTTGTTTTTTCAATTTAGAAAGAGGCAAAAACCCACATCTGCCTTTGACCTTTCCCCCAACACCAGCTGGACCCCACCCACAGCGAAGACGCCCTTCACTGGCAGCTGCACAGTCGCTTTCCCTCCCTGGAGCATGTGGAGGTCATAAAGCCCTCAGATGTGGACTGCTTCACGGACCAGACCTTTGCACAGCTGGCGCTCAAGGTATCATGATGAGGGGGACTGAGAAGGGGGGTGGGGGGCTGCTGGGATGGGGCCCGTTCTAACCGTGTTAAGAGGAACGTGGGCTGGGATGAAATTCCACCCTCGCCCTTCCCCCCCCTTTGGACGTGTCGACAATAAGGACCCGTTGCGCCATCATCATCATCATCATCATCATTCAACTAATCTATCCCGCGCCCTCCCCGCCATGCCAGGATCTGTCCCGGCTGCCCGGCCTCACCAGCCTCAATCTTGAACACTGCACCCAGCTGACGGTGGCGGGAATGGCGGCACTAGCACTGGCTTGTCCGCAGGTCAGCAAATTGGTCATACCGCAGGTACGGCTGCATGTATGTATGTATGTGTGTGTATGTATGTATGTATGTATGTATGTATGTATGTATGTATGTATGTATGTATGTATGTATGTATGTATGTATGTATGTATGTATGTATGTATGTATGTATGTATGTATGTGTGGTCTGGGGGCCTGCGGGGGAGGGTTTGGGGTTGCGGATGATTCCAGGAACGGACAGTGCGTGTGTTTTACTGGACCGAGGCTCACGAAGGATTTGCGTGCGGAGTTTTCTATTTTTCTAATTTGTAGCACCACCACCACCCGCCACGGCCATCACCACGACCACCACAACCACAACCACCACCATCACCATCACCACCACCACCACCACCACCACCGCTACCATCACCACCATGACACCAATGTCCCTCCGCCACAACGCAGGTGTGTCAGCTGTGTACGAGTGACGTCATGCTGCTGGCGCTGGGGAGGTTGCCTGATTTGGCCAAGCTGCGGCTGCAGTGCTGCAAACACTGCGACGAGGTGGGGACAGGAAAGAGGGTTTCGTTATGGAAGGGGGGGAGAGGATGAGAGGCAAGGGAGAGGAGGAGGTGGACCTCACTTAAAGGGGAAGAAAGGAAAGCAAAAGGAAAATAAAGGAAAATTGAGAATGGAAATCAAAGGCGAAAGGAAGGAAAGAAGAAGGGTCAATATAAGAAGTCATCAACGAATGAGTCCCCTCTCCTCCTCCGCATCCCTTTTGGACGTTGGAAGTTGTTTCCGGGACTCAATTTCCCAACCCCCCTACAACCTCCGAAACCCAACCGCCAGGTTGCCCTAGCTTATCTCTCCGACCTGAAGCGGCTGACTGCCTTGGAGCTGGAGGACTATGGGCAGGCTCTACGGCAGGTACGGCAGGCAGTGTACGGCAGAATGACACATTCTCGCGGCATGGGTTCAATGCCGTGGTGCTGGTGACTTCATGCTCCTGGGGTCGATGACTTCATCGCTTAGGGCTCACTGGGGCCAGTTTCTCGGAGACTCTGGACGCCTTCCGGCGGCTCCCGACGTTTTCCTCGCACCACATGGCCCCCCAGGCTCCCACCCCACACCCACACCGACACCCTTCATCTCTTAGGGCTCACTGGGGCCAGTTTCTCGGTGACTCTGGACGCCTTCCGGCAGCTGAGCTCATTCCCGACGTTTTCCTCG